ATGAAGGTCCCCCTAACAATGTTATCTCAGGAGATTCATCGAAACCAAGTTTCTCTTCGTATCTACATGGAACCAGCATGCATTAAAAGAGGCAATGTGGGCGGATTAGCAATCAAAAGGAGTCTAACCTTGCATATAAGATACAGAAGCCATAGTCTCATCTTTTCTCGTATCTCGGAGATTTTACCTTCCAATGATAGATAAAAGAAGATTATGCCACTTTCTTTACTTTATTATCTTGTACGTGGATCATTTGGGATATGTTAATGGAACACCATCCGCAAAATTTATGGGCTCGTTGAAAGGGGCTTGACAGCTAAGCCTCGTCACTTTTGGGTGCTAGTAGATGAGCCTAAACCCTCAGTTCCATTTGTCCTCCCCTTTAGAACAAGCACGGATGTGTGAATTTCAGGGCAAACCTACCGATGATGCTCGTGGTGATACTTCTTGTAACTGATTGCCATTGGCACGATAAGTGGCAGGTTGGCGACCAGTGAAAGCACTCGATTGGAAACTGGATACCGGTGTCCAAAGGCAAGGTTATGACCAATTTCGTGAATTGAGCTCCCCAGAGAGTGGTTGAGGGTGCCGCTGATGAAATAGGTGGCAGCCAGCCAGACCAAAAAGGTAGGTTGATAGGTGCGGATCGACCAGCATATGGCCATCTGAAGGGTCACCTCGAGTAGAACGATGTAGGCAATGGTAGGATCGCAGCCCATCAGCTGTTTGATCTCTGGATGTCTGGCCAGGATTTCCTTAACACCAATCAAGCGAAGCCATTTTATTATATGTTGCGAGGCGTATGAGTATGTTTTATTCGTCATGGCATAAGTCGTTTGCATGCTTGATTTAGTGCGTTTGTTGTAGGTGATCATATAATCGCATCTCAGCCACAAGGCAAGACAAGTTTAGTTAAAATTAAACAGGGTTAAGTGGGTTTATAATTGCTGTGCGTGTGTGCATTTCGAGACGATAAGTAATGTTTGGACAACACCTTAGCCCTTGGTTTCTCACTGGTATTTAAGAATTGATAATAGATTTACTTTTAGAGACCTATTTCTTAATAAATAATCCTTTGTAGTTTTGTCACATACTAACACCGGCCATAAGTAACCTCGTAAAATGTGATGGCGACTGAATGTTTGCTTCTAGAATCACACTAAAATTGCAAATCGGGAGGGGCCTGACTTGCTTGCCACGTGACCCATTGGCACCCGTTACTAAGTTGTACAATGATAATGTCATCACACTTAAGAATATTCTGCTAATCTCTAGTCGGGATGGAAACTGAAGTTCACTCTGGTTGAGGCACCTTTAGGGAAGGAAGCGGAATTCTATGACATGACGCAAATTATATCATTTTAGGATGAGTCGACTAACAAGAGAACTATAGTGACCAAGGAGAAAGTATAGGATGTCACCGCGTAATAGGAGTGTGATTTGGACTCTAAACTGTCGAATGACAAAACATTGCATAATGACAGGGCACATGTTTCCACAAACCTTATACGAACATCAACATTGCAGCATCATAAGTTATTTTAGGTATGTAAAGACACATCTGTGACCGCATTCACTACCTCTACGGGCATCAACTTCATCTGCAATTATATGGGGTATGTATGAAGTAGTCTACCAAATCATGGTATGTCGCGTTACTATCTTAAAATTACGTATAAGAAGCAACTTGTGTTTCAGCCAGCAACTTTTCTCGGTTTAGCGATAGAGTGAATATTTCGCAAATGATGGTTTTTGGCTCTGGTGACGACTTTCACATGACGGACGAAATCTTAGCCCGGTATCATCAGGACCCCACAACCCTTCAGTTTCCGTTAAGGCCAATCTTCAAATTCCTTCCTTTCGCTTTCTTAAATAAAAAATTTTTGAGTTCACTTTACAACTTATGTCCATTTATGAAAATCGCCATGTAAGATTGAATAGTTACTAAGGCCACAGACGGACTATAGCCAAATTGAATTAACAATTCTTGAGTTCTAATTGAGTTTCTCCATCTAAGCATCACAAACAGGTCTCTACTTCTGAAGTGGATTGCAGTTTCCACATGGCCTGGGTGTCACCTGTTCCGTAGAGGGATTCGGATCGTGTACATACAATTTCGCATCGATATTTAAGACGAAAGCTATAAGCCATCTTTTCTAGTGTTGTCTTGGTACAGCATTTATCGAGATCGTGACAATGACAAATGCCTATTAGATGTATGGCCTTGTCACTTCGCAGACTGTATTGAGTGCATGAACCTTAGAATGATGTAGCAGTTCACAGACAACTGGTGTAAATATCAATGGATTGTTAATAGTAGAATGTGGCAGTGTTAATTTTGAGGCTTAAATTTTAACCTTTGAAGTTTTAGCGCTCCGTTCTGGTTACCTCATGAAGAGAAGATAAATAAGACAAGGGACAAGTATAAAATAGAA